TATGGACCAGATGTGACCATGAAAGTGTGTCAAGGTCAATTCAGAAGAAGTCGTTTAAAGATTTCCTTCTGGCCAAATATTATCACCCTGGACCTTTTGGTTATACACAAGAAGTCTATTAAAGGTTTTTAAGACAATATACCCATGTGACCTTGAATATGAGTGGTCACTTGTTTGAACAAACTTGGTAGCCCTTCATACCAACATCCTTCTGGCCAAATACCATCACCTTGGACCGTATAGTTATGCAGAAGTCGTTTAAAGGGTTTTCACACACCTACACCATTACACACACATATACACACACACACACATCCACAGCGACAGGAAATGAAGATGTATGAGCACACACACACAAACACACACCTACAACTACACACAAACACCAAAATACATAAAGTATTTAATTAAAAAGTACACACCTATTTGTAGAAAACAACCCTCAAAAATATATCATAAAGACCACTTTTATCTTGAATATGAGTGAAGATAATTTGTTTGAACAAACTTGGTAGCCCTTTATCCAAGCATGATACTGCCCAAATATCAACACCCTAGAAATTTTGGTTACTTAGAGGAAATTGTTTAAAAGTTTCAACATATTTGACCCCTGTGACCTTGAATATAGGAGAAGGTCATTCATTTGAACACTCTTTGTAGTCCTTTATCCCAGAATGATATTGGCCAAATATCACCATCCTGGTCCTTCTGGTTATTCAGAAGAAGTTATTTTAAGATCCCTGTAACCTTGATAATGGGCAAAGGTCATTCATTTGAACAAACTTGGTAGCCCTTCATCCCAGCATGCTACAGGCCCAGGACTATTGGTTGTTGAGAAGCGTCGTTTGTAGATTTTAAGACATTTGACCCCTGTGACCTTGAAAGTAGGTCAAGGTCATTCATATGAACAAACTTGGTAGCTCTTCATCCCAGCATGCTACAGGCCCAATATCAGTACCTTGGGCCTTTGGTTTATTGAGAAGAAGTTTGAAGATTTTAAGAGATTTGACCAATGTGACATTGAAAGTGGGTCAAGGTCTTTCATTTGAACAAACTTGGTAGCTCTTCATCCCAGCATGCTTCAGGCCCAATATCAGTACCCTGGGCCTTTGGTTTATTGAGAAGAAGTTTGAAGATTTTAAGAGATTTGACCAATGTGACATTGAAAGTTGGTCAAGGTCATTCATTTGAACAAACTTGGTAGCTCCTCATGCTATAGGCCAAATATCAGTTACATGGGCCTTTTGGTTATTGGTAAGTCGGTTGAAGATTTCGAGATATTCGACCCCTGTGACATTGAAAGTGGGTCAAGGTCATTCTTTTTAACAAACTAGGTAGCCCTTCGTCCCAGCATACTACAGGCCCAATTTCAGTACCCTGGGCCTTTTGGTTATCGAGAAGTTGTTTGAAATGTTTTTAAATTTGACTCCTGTAACCTTTTTAGTGGGTCAAGGTCGTTCATTTGAACAAACCTGTTAGCCCTTCGTCCCTGCATGCTACAGGCCAAATATCAGTACCCTTGGCCTTTTGGTTATTGAGAAGAAGTTCTTTGAAGATTTAAAGACATTTTATCCCTGTGACCTTGAAAGTTGGTCAAGGTCATTCATTTGAACAAACTTGGTAGCCCTTTATCCCAGCATGCTAAATACCCAATATCAGTACTCCGGGCCGTTTGGTTATTGAGAAGAAGTTGTTTAAAGTAAAATATTGACGCCGGATGGACGACGGACGCCGCACCATGGCAGAAGCTCGCTTGGCCCATTGGGCCAGGTGAGCTTAAAATGATCAGAATTGTTGTTTAATGTAAGGTTTACATATTTACATAAATGCATGTCATTATTTAAATTAACAGATGAAAGTCATCTTCAATCAAACCAGCCTTGAAAATAATTTGAGATTAGCATAGTTTTTTTTTATGAAATACCCCAAGATAAGCAGTAAATAATTCAGATAATCCAAAGTAAATTCTTCAGTAAAATCTAGAGCTAAGTATACAATTACCACGCAATCTCCTGCACTGCTAATAGTAAGTCAGGTTCTTCCTAGCGATGACATGATGGAAATGAACCATAGCAGGATGATTAAGTATGTAGCTCCCATCATCACTATATTCTGAAGAATTATTTGAACACCCCCAAATGGTCTTTCGCATTGTCTGACATTCCTCAAAATGAATTCAATTTGGTGAAATAGACGTGAGCTCACCATACTGACTTCATCAATTATCAGTACTTCAAGATCAAATACTCTTTTCACATGATACTCATAGTCCTATTTCTGATAAAGTCTTAGCAGCTCAGAGTTAGAAAACCTGCCATCCATTAAACCAAGAAAGCTGTGAATTGTACAAGCCTTTAACTCTGATGTCAATCTAGACACCAACAGAAGTGCAGATTTCCATGTAGATACTGTCACATAACGCCAGGAAACCCAGTTATCAAAGAGCTATGTCCATTATGCGCTATCCGAACGACATTCGTTTGAGATTCATCCATGACTTGATTAGAACATGCTCAGAAATACATTTGAAGCTAGCACAGACGATCAGCGGGAAAATGTAAACAATAACACGTGTCATAATAACTTACCATCATAAAATCCGAGAATCCCCGAAAGCCCAGGAGAATTGTTCCGAAACGATACTCGCTGCAGCTCCACTTCCTGTCTGACTAGTTATGTGTTCTCGGCGGGACGACACGAATTTGGATTTAAAGGACGTATTGCCAGCGGAAAAAAAGGTCTGAGAATTTACGCAGGTGTGTATTTATTAATTTTAAACATTTTTGTGTAACTGGGTGAAAACCGTATAACAATCGATGTAGAATTATGTGAGAAATCTTTGTTTGAAAGAAATTACTTTTTTGGCGAGTGTCTTCCATTGTATTGGGATATAACGTACCCAGCGACTGAAAGCCTAAAACAAGATCAATATTAATAGGAGTTGTTCTGAGAATGGACTTCGTAATAACCGTTTTATCTTAGTTTGTCGGGGAGATGGAATACACAAGGTACCACTAGAAAATGTTTGCGATTTTTTAGAATGCAGATTTTCTTTGATGTATGCAATTTCCGAAGATTTTTTTTAATACTTTTCAACCTGTCTATAACATCTGATGCAAACCCCTACCTCAGATAGTTGACTACATTCTATATCGCCAACCACACGCTCAATGTTTATGATTCTTTCTGTGGAAAGTTTCAAATTTTGATTATTATAATTCGAAATCATCTCTTTAGCTTCGCTTGTTATTTCTTTTCGAACAAACAGAAAACTGCAGATTAAATATATATCGTACAAAAAGAACACACGCCGTGGGGTAGACATTTCTACACTGGGCGCTGCCATTTTTGTACATGTTCGTTTGGGTTTCTAGAGATTCACCTCTGGACTAACGGCAAGCCTAGAAAAGAAGAGGCCCAGGGGCCTTAGCGGTCACCTGAGTTATATCATAGGTACTGCTAGCTTTATTTTAGTGTTTATATGTGATGTGGAAATCAGCATGTAAACTAAGTGAAATACAATACTTGTCGTCATGTCATCAAAGGATAAGATTTTTGAAATATTGGGTAATTTTCCCTTTGGGGCCCCGCCCTAGCCCCTGGGGTTGGGGTAGGAATCTACAATTTACAATTTCAAACCATCTCCCTTCAAGGATAATTCTCACCAAGTAAAATTAATTTCCTACAGACAATTGTCAAAATATACCCAAAAGTGTTATTTCCCTATATAAACTATAGTAAACTTTACCCCCTCCCAAAGGGAGAACGGATATCTCAGGGGTCCTGAAATCTACAATTTAAATGAAACCCCTGATTACCTTTCTTTCCATACAGAAAAAAACGAATGTAGTACATCTGAGTCTGGAGAAGAAGATTTTTGAAATATTGGTTAATTTTCCCTTTGGGGCCCCGCCCTGGTCCCTGGGGTTGGGATAGAAATCCCAATTTTACAATTTGGTAGCCTCATCTACCAAGGATGACTCTGACCAAGTTTGATAAAATTCCATGCACTGGTTCTTGAGAAGAAATTGAAAATGTAAAACGTTTACACACGACGACGACGACGACGACGGACGGAAAGAGATTAGAATAGGTCACTTGAGCAAAACTCAGGTGACCTAAAAATCGAATCTGAAAGCTATGATTTGGTTGGTTAATACAAAGGTCATCTGTACATGACCCCCTACGGGTCGCTGTCAGATCCTCATATGATAGTAGAACGATAGTATAATGAGGAGCTGTATTTTAATCAGATTAACGTGTAACATTTGCAAAGTTTTCAAATAGTGTCGAATGTAAAATATCAAGGCCGGCCAAACTAATCATGATTTCATCTCCACTTGTTTCGGTGGAATTCGTTATTCCAGCAGGATTTTAGAAATTTCACAAATTTACCTTTTGGTAAGATGCATTCGGATGATATAAGTAAGCATGTTAAGGGCTGTCTGTGCAATTTTTGACAACATTTTTTGTGAAGATTATTTACAATGCCGATGTTGGGTTGGGGATCGGGGGTTAAATCACCTCTTAGGATATGTATCGCAATTTAAACCTTCAAAAGGTTGTGTTTCTGACTTGTTCGTGACTGGATCACTAACGTCTACTCTCCGTGCTGTTTTTCATTAAATCCACCCTGACGATTACTACGGTCATTAGTACTATAAGAGAAACAATATTCCTTGTACGTTTTGTGTTTCTCTTCCCGTGGTTTGTCGCTGTGATTTGTTCGAATAACCCCAGATTCACCATGCAGTCAAAATATAATCTCTTTCGGTATCATATGATCATTTGAAATAGAATGATACCTGAATCAATCTCGCCCGATCCATCTAGAAGTAAATATCCTGTCCTATGTCACATGATATCCAATACTGAACAATGATATGAACTTTCGATATCATACTTTTGATAAAAGAGAATGACACTGTATGATTTGTGAGCATAAAAAATCGACCTTCACATCTCACATAGAAATAATATAGTTCCCGTTGAGATTCATCATGGCGACCACAAAACGTGTTATTCTGAGACCATTCAGGGATGTGCCTCAATGTGCGTTGTGCATGCGTGCCGGAGGCAGGGTATGTAGGCGTATTTGCCTTCGTGTGATAGCGCGGATCTGATGCCGACTTTTTGGTGCCATCATATTAACTACCATTTTAAAGGTCTTTGGTATGTCCCAGCCTAGGTTTTGGTTTGGTTTAGTTATGTTTTGCGTCCTATTAACAGCGAATGTCATTTAAAGACGTGTGTGTGTGTGTGTGTGTTTGTGTGTGTTTGTGCTCTCAGATTTATGTAGTTGTGGACACCTCTTCAATGTATAGACCAACGTTGTGGACACATTTGACATTGTGGACACCAAATCATGGTGTCCACCGTGTACACACCTCCAGAGGCCCACTTTTCACCTAATAAATCTACTTGGCTAAAAGTGTAAAACAACGTTGTGAACCGCCCTCACACTGGCTGTGTGTAAAGGGCACGAAATAGATACCCAGCAAGGTGTGTGAGGTAACCTCACATACACACATAATTACGTTATTTATATACGGTCAGCAGTGGCTGCTGCTGCAGTGACTAGCCGCTAGCAATAGGTCAGTTCCTTATAAGCCATCACCATAACAAAGGGGCTTGTAGATGAGGGGCACCCGAAGGGTGATAGCCATGTTAACTGAAATAAATTTATATGTATTTTACTATCTAAACCTTCCAAGTGCCTCAATTTTTTTCCCGCAAAAACGTCAAAAAGAAGAGCATCAAAATACTTACTGGGGCTGCTGAAGATACCGCATGTGTACAGTGGTAGGTTTATGTGTGATGTTTTGTTTTATTCATACTTTCTATTTGTGCTAGTCTAAGGGAAATGTTTTTGTGTATTTACCTAATTCCATTTATTGTGTATACAATTTATAAAATTTGAATCAGAATGGTGTGAAGAAAGAATTATGTCATCATCGAACACCAAGCACAAAACTGAATGATGTACCTAATATTTTAGATTAATGCGATATTGTTTTAACAGCAACATACCATTAAAGCACACATTCATTATTAAGGTCATTTTTACGGGAAGTGTATATCAGTATCTATACTAATTTAGTATCATTTGGAAGTTTTGAACACGTGAATTATATCATTAATATATCTATACGATATATTGTCAAGTAATTGATTTTTGTGCTTAAATTTCGATTTTTATTTATCAAACTGTATTTTTTTGAAATCTGGTTTGTGTTAAATTATGCTACTGTACATGAAACGATGAGGGATGGTTATACTTTTCAAAACTGCATGGCCAGCCGGCTTTATATTGACGGAATTGCATCTTATTAATTGTTTTAAAATAATGGATATGTGCAAGAAAAACATAACCACGCCAATATCAAATAGAACTCCTTCTGACCTCTCAATTCATTGTTCTATACCTTCCTCAAACTGATTTAACACTGTATGCTTTATACGTACCATATGAGTCTATTTGTAATGCAGAACTATTTTATTGTACTCGACTCCTCATTTTCAAAGCAATGAATGCATCATTTATTCAAGATATTATGTGTATATTTTGATATATAACATGTATTATCTGTAAAATCATTGTAGCAATGCCAACTGATAGGTTGGATACATGTTATGTTTACAAATTTAACAGAAATGGGGATACGAAAAAAGACACTTGGAGACGACGGAGATTAAAAAAAAAAAAACAACTGAAACACCTGTAAGCATATCATCACTGTTTGGTATGCCTTTGTCATTTTAACCCGATAAATTATGCCATTCATACTCCTTCTCCTTAACCCTAAATTAAATTGACACAATATCCTTTTACGTTTCACAAATTATCTTTAGCTTCATGGATTTATTTTCCATGTCATTTTTAACAAACTACACACAAACTTTATAATGTTCAGATAATTATAACTCTGTATCTGCGAGCTCATTATACTATTGCATCGGGAAATGCTACGTTTTGTAAACAAAATGAAAGAATAATTTTGTTTAGTTTTGGGGTTTTCGGAATGCCATGAAAACCTTTGGTTTTATTGATGATTTGTATTTGAGAAATATCTAGATAAACGTTTCGTAATTATATGTCTATGTAATCTTATACTTGAAAGGTGAATATTGAACGTAGAAGACGATGCAAACCGGAGGTTGCAAAGTCTTTTATCTTGAAAGACAAAGATCCACCTGGACTGAAGGACCGATTGATAGATAATTTTATCGGTTGGTTTATACTTTATGTTAATGACATTTATATTGATTATGTAACTGCATCGAGATATAATCTGTATGAATATGCTTTCACTGTATGTTTGTCTTTGAATAGTGCATTGTTTTATCTTTAAAAATCATTGTTTTTAAGCTTCATTGTCTTTTGTATTCATATCAAATTCTCCACCGTATCACAACAGCAGGGTTTTTTTTCAGTGAACAAAAGAGATTTTGCCCTTTTTGGAACAATACCCAAAATTTATAATTACACTTTTTAAATGCTCAGTTTTATAAAATTATATCAAAGTTGTATGAAAGAGGTTCCCATTTCCGAATTAAACATTGACTTTGTTTTTCTTCAAAGATACATATCATACTCACATATCGTCAAAATAAATTCCTTCAAATATAAAGCCCACAGATATGCTTACATAACAATGTAAATATATTTCCGGATGCTATATTCAGAGATACGTTTTATAACAACCCTCAATTTTTTTTTGGTTATTCTAATAGCTTTATACATTAAACTTAAATCACTTTATCTGTCTGATAGGTAGAGGAGTATTTGCCCTCAGGTCGATTACGAAGGGAGAGTTTCTTCTGGAGTATGCTGGGAAAATCATTGAGGGAAATGACACAGAATATACAGAAGATACCAATTACACTTTTCACTTTACATTCAAAGGAAAAAAGGCATGGTATGTATCTATTCATTGAAATTGAAGGAAAACACTAATAACATGCATTGTAGATAAATCAACTGTGATTCGGAAAATAATTTTTTATCTATGCAACATACTTTAATAAAGTGTTACGCTTCTTTCTTAAGTTTGTTTGTTTGTTTGATTTTGTTTAACGTCCTATTAACAGCTAAGGTCATTTAAGGACGGCCTCCCCTGTGTGCAAGATGCATGCGTGAAGTGTATGTGTGTGTTTTTTGGGAGGCTGCGATATGTTCGTGTTTATCTCCTTGTGATAGCGCGGAACTGATGCCGACTTTATAGTGCTACCTCACTGAAACATACTGCCGAAGACACCCAGCAGGACGCCCCACCAGGTCACATTATACTGCCAACGGGCGAACCAGTCGTCCCACTTCTAATTTGCTGAGCGTTAAGCAGGAGTAGAAACTACCATTGTTAAAGACTTTGGTATGTCTCGGCCAGGGGACAGAACCCAAAGCCTTCCTCACAGGGGCGAACGCTCAACAAATGGCCAAAAGTGAGGCATTGTCAAGGAAGACATTAGGAAGAATAAAGTTATTTAGAAAGGAGAGAAGAGATAAGGTCCCAAAGTTAGTCGCCTCTTACGATCATGCAATTAGGGGCAGCAGGTACAATTCTTACGCCCTACCTGCAGGGACTCTTTCTTAAGTATCGATGCGACGAAAGAAATAACCACAGGGGCACGTCTTGGGCGACTTGTTAACCATGCAAAACGTGATATCGCCAATTCCACAATGAGATCGTTGGAGTTCAATGGACAGCCGCGTCTTTGTCTCTACAGCCTTAGGTAAGTTACGTTATTATTATTTAATTGCATATGACTACAAACCAGCTTAACGCTATTATTATATGTACAAAATGTTGCTTTTTTATTAACAGGGATATTACACCAGGGGCAGAGTTGTGGTACGATTATGGTATCAAGAAATTGCCATGAGAGGAAACAAATAAAGAAGTGAGTATTTCACATTGATTTGTATTACGTACACAGTATTTACAAACTATATATACAAAATGGAATATCATATTGCTGATATACATTCGTATATTGCACTTATATTTCTACATGACAATAGTATGCTTAATTTAGCATGACAAATATTAACTAGTTTATGCAACAAAAGGGTATTTTGAGGCTAAGAATGTGTTATTGAATAGTGATACACTACATACAAACATATCCAAAAAATATGTTTAACCATAGAACAAGAGATGCATGCTTGTTTGTTTTTCAATGTCCTATCGCCATGTTCAGATATTTTGAATTGAGGAACAATGAACAAATTGGATTAGTTTTAATTTGTTGTATAAATGAATCAATGTTCAATCACACTTTCTATGCATATTATTAAAGTAAGGGAGTAAAACAACATTAAAAAGTAGAACACAAATACATTTGATATTGTATTATTGATTGATTTAGGTGTGTATAATAACATTATGTAAACGGTATCGACAATGCAACATAGAGTTAACATCACCAAAGCTATAGAATGCTTTATTAACTTCTCGGTTGTGTGTCATGTGATTGAAGACATTGTGTCAATAAGGCACCATTGAGTAGTTAAGCACATCAACCTTAAAAAATGATATTTTACCTTCTGCTCAGTTGTGTGTGATTACATTTTGTCATGATATTGTTATGTATTTCAGCACAAACTACCAGATACTAATGTGGAAGAACAGCAGGAGAATTTAACAACAGCTGAAGACATAAACGTAATTATCATCTTCTTCACATTTCAAAGGTCTCGTGTTTGAACATGCAAATTGTTTTCTACTTTTCCTCATTATGATATAAAAGTGTTTAGGGGTGAATGAAAAGTATAAAAAGACATATCGAGAACAATAGAAAGGGATCCTTGTTTTTGTGTTTGTACATTTAAGTCTGTATACCAGATGTATCGATTTAAAAGCGATTAATGATTACTGTAAGTGTTCTTTAGAGATGGATGTTCCTATTAAATTAATCTGAAAATAGCTGAAACAGTTGACTTAATTGTTGTACAAATGTGTTATTACGCATTGAATCTTCTGATGTCTGGTATTAATAAATCAGACAAAAATACTTTTACATCCCTACACAATAAGGGAACGCAACAAATAAATTATTGATAGTCAAAGTACATGTCTTGATATAAATATAATGATCATTTACTTATCTAATTCTTTTGTGTATACTAATACATTGAAGATGTTGAATGATATTTTAATTTCCTCTCAGCTGTTTGTGATAACATTGTGGACACCGTGTCCATAAAGCAACATTAATTTGCAACATGCATCAAAGATGTGGAATGTTATTTTAATTTCCTCTCATTTGTGTGTGATAACATTGTGGACACGCTGTCCACAATGTAACATTGAGTAGAAACACGCATCAAAAATGAGGAATGCTGTTTCAATTTTTTTTCTAGTTTTTGTGTGATAACATTGTGGACACGGTGTCCACAAAGCAACATTGAGTATAGATATTCATCAAAGATGCGGAATGTTATTTTAATTTCCTCTCGTTTGTGTGTGATAACATTGTGGACTCGGTATCCACAAAACAACATAGAGTTGCAACGTACACCGAAGATTGGAACGTACACCGAAGATTGGAACGTACACCGAAGATGGGGAATGATATTTTTTTTGTTTTTCTCATTGTGTGTGATAACATTGTGGACACGCTGTCAACAAAGCGACATGCATTTGTTCTTTCACAATGATATCTGGAAGTTTGTGCTGATACACATATGATGACACAATGTTATCACACACAACTGAGAAGAAGGTAAAATATTATTCCACATCGTTGATATGTTTTCATTTGTAAACTTCTCGGATCTGAAGGCATAAATATAATTATCACATTCTTTACACAAAAACAATTTGATATCTGAATATGTAAATATTTTTCTTGATACTTTCCTCGTGAAAATTCGAAAGTTCCCCTTAATGTTGTCGAGTGACCATGCTTTACATGTAACAATTTAGAGAAAGGAAATGTGCCATTTAAAATGCACCATTATTGATAATTAATATGAAATAGTCCAAGTCAGTATGAAAATTATTTTTATAGTGGATAAAAGGGTGCACTGAGTGACATTTTCCACGGGAAATACATGCAACATTCTTCCAGGTCATGTGACTACAATGTTTGCTTTGACGCGTTAAGTTGCAAATATATAGTATAAGTTGGGTTATTGTTGACATGGAGCATTTTGTGCGCATTCAGTATTGCATGGTGTACACTTTTCCAAATTTAAATCTATACATGGGCTGATTAACTTTCAGATATCTGCGTCAGAGGATGAAATGGACAACAGTGATGCTAATCCAGATTTCAATCTCTCAGGATCTGACATTGTTTCAGAAAGTGAGGAGGAAGGCAACCAAAGTCACACCACCGACATTATTCCTTTTATTTCAATCCAACCTATTCAGGTAAATAAATTAAACAAAAGCACGAATACATTCTTACATTAAAATGCTGAATATTAAAATAATAATATCTTGATATTAATAATATTTCATATCTAGGTCTAGGGATAACCTTGAATATTACATAGTCCAAGTCAGTGTGGACATTATTTTTATAGTGGATAAAAGGGTGCGCTGAGTGATATTATCCGAGGGGGATTATGTAACGTTCTTCCAGGTCATTATATTGTGGACACTAGTGTTTATTATTATTCATGTTTACTTCCTTACCAATTCGGTTATGAATCATATACTTAATTAAAAATTAGTACATCAGTGTATAGGATTTTTGTTTATTAATTCCAGACTACTCATTTTGGAAACATTATCGTTATAAGAAGAACTGGCGAAGACGGTGCTGCGTTCCCTCTGACAGCTCCCGTCTGTTTAATTGGAAAGTATGTACGATTTAAGATAAATTGAAATTCGTGTTCAATACTGTTAAGGCTTTATTTGTTTGGTAAGGCTAGTGCAAACAAACTTTATAAAATTCATGCTCTTAATTTAAAACTAAATAATTCAAGCTTTCTCAAAATAACAACCAGAGAACGTCCAACTTTTTTGTATAGAAATTGAAAGGCCTAGGGTATCCTAATATCGATACTGCAGTAAGCAGGAGTTAAAAATAATTGTTTCTGAACCAAAGAAAAAAAAACTACTATTTTTTCATTACCAATATCAAATATAGAAAAATGCGTGAAAATGAAATGGAAAGAGAGCCTCATATGTGAACATCACTTTAAAATGGTGATTTACCCCTGGACTCGTTGGCTCTGACTGTCTTACTCTACGATTTTGTCAACATTATAAGCCTATTTTAGAGAAAAAAAAGCTGCTGATTATCATTTTCCTTTGATTATATTTATTCCAGATCTAAGAACTGTGATATAAGGATTACGCGGACAAAAACAGCGCCAGAGCACTGCAAAGTGTCAGTTAAGGAAAATGGACATGAAAATATAGAACGAACTTAATATTAATGTATCGTGTGCAACAGAAAACGGTAATATATATGTTCATATATATCTTTACCGAAATCGGTTTCCTAAAATAAATGTATATTATGTAAGTACATGTATTGTAATTATAATTGTAATGATAAACTTTAGGAAAAACGTGGAACACAGACTGTTACAAATGTAACATACATATAAACCGAGATACAGTAATGGCATGAGGTCACAATTAATGGAATACAATTGTGTTAGACTGTTTTATCTTTGGTTGAAATATTGTACATTAAAGTTAAGTAACCTCCAGTAGTTCTAACTCTGCAATTCATCTTGGCACTGTTAATGTGAGGGGCCATGCATGTATATGTATCTATATTCTTACTACACAGAATAAATTGAACATCATCTAAAACTGATGTACCCTGTACATGATTGTGGTCACTTATATTATTTCAGACAGGAAAGTTTTCATAGGTCTTCCTAATATAAACATAATTACTTCCTTCTTACATATATATATATACATTACAGATATATCTGGACAATTTAAGTTCAACACATCCAGTGCAAATTAACCAAAAGACATCCTATGGCTCTGACAGACTGAAGGACAAAGACGTCTTTACAATAGTGGGTCGATCATTCCGTTGTGAATGCTCTGTCCCGCTGTCAAAGGTATGCATACATAGCTAGATAGTATTTTTAGTGTATTTAGAATTAGATCTAAGGTTTGTTTGAATGATGTTGTAATGTATAATAAATTATTACAATTGAGTTCTAATCATCGTTTAGTGTGGTACTTATACCCTAGTAATGGAACATGCATTTAAAAAGTAGACTAAAATGAAATGTTCAAAAGATCAAGTTTGTGAATGTGGTATATTATAGAATTTATGTCTTCTTGAAGAGGTTATTTTCATATATTTCTACAACAACAGACTCCGAGACTCCTGACAATGATGTTAGCTGATGAAAGAAACAGCATTGATGATGAATGTACTACCGATACATTCATGCATATACTTATTGTAAATTGCATATATATGTAATTTCTGTAAAATTCCCATCAAGACGACGTTATTGATGTGATCAATGGATAGCTTAGTGATAGCCAACTCCAGAGGATAATTTCGATGTGCGTCTACATCTACACTATCACTGATAACATTGACTGTATCACTTCTTTAACATCGTTACACGCTAATTTAACTCATTGATATTGTATGTTTTCGCTTTTGATTCTGGAGTTTAAGTTTTTCAAATAATAAATGTGGAATTGTTGTTTCACCTGTAATCTTATTTTCTATTTTCATTTAGGTTATGGACAGAGGAAGAGGCATAACAAAGGATTCCGAACCTCATGGAAATGATGTGAGTTGTTAAATTAAAACATCTTTGATGTTATATGTACTACAGTTCCTCAGTTATTATAAGAAAAAGCTTTTGATCTTTGTGAGCATGTTATCCCTTTCGATATCATAATCAATTACATATTGTCTAAGAAAAATTCTCAACAACGAGTCTTAAGGAAATAACTTCAGACTCGTTGTTGAGAATTTTTCTTTTTATATTATTTCTTAAGGATGTTTTTTCTGCTTTTATAATATATATATTCATATATATAATCAATGTTGGCACTATGTCCAAAACCTTGGCATTTACGTGTTTTAACATTAATTTATGCAAATCTGTAATTAGTCCTAAGATACTAAACTAAATGCTAAAACATGAAAATATAGTATATTCCCTTTAGAGGCGTTGATTTAAGGTGTTGCATTAACATTGAATACGAAAATACAGTTGCATAAATCGCTCTGTTGGAAAAAAAGCAGTGTACATAGACTGTATTGGTACTGTCAACCGGAAAGGTAAACAAATCGATTACATCCTTTATAATATTTTTAAAAAATGATACAATATACCATAATCAAATGGGAGACATATAATGCTTAGTGATGCCGCAAAATCTAGTATAAAACAATATAAAAAAGTACTCAATAACATTTCAATATAGAAAAGTATTTGCAGAGATATACCGCAATATTAGCCTTGATGAACAAACTGCTTTATACATAAAGGAGGGGTTGTGTATCTTTTTCTAGTGTAATATACGAAATCAATACAATAGGAACGAAACAAAACAAAAGTAGTAAAATGTGTCATGGTCAGTATTGCATGGTGTACAATTTTACAAATTCAAGTCTATACATGGGCTGATTAACTTTCAGATATCTGCGTCAGAGGATGAAATGGACAACAGAGATGCTGATCCAGATTTCAATCTCTCAGGATCTGACATTGGTTCAGGAAGTGAGGAGGAAGGCAACCAAAGTCACACCTCTGACATTATTCCTATTACTCCAACCAAACCTATTCATGGTGTGCACGCATTTAACATATCAACATCACTTTAAATTGAATTTATGTTCATTTGACTTGCATACCACTAATTAAAAGTGCTAAAATATAATTATGATATTAGCAAAACAAAACAGATTACAGCATATATGTATTCCATGAAAGTACAATGTTAGAACTTGAAAGACAAATCCATTCCAGTGGTAATCGTAATATTAAGAATGATGATTCTTTTATATCATAGATGGAATTGACAACAAAAGATCCTTCAACTGAAAATGAATCTGTGGATAACTTAACAAATGTCTCAGAGAATCCAGAAAATGACCCAGGCAATAGTAAGTATAATTTTAAATATAAAACAAAACGATCGGAGTAAGATCATTAAGTACAATTCTCTAGCATAAGTTACAAATGAACTTACATATTTCGCCTTTTACAGCACTCATATTGCTATACTTTATCAATGCAAACCTATTGATAGCATGCATACGATGGCAACGATGCCGACATATGGCGACAATCGGACACATCTGTTTGAGGCTAATGTCAGAATAACATTTTGACATAAGTAATATGTCGCCTTATGCTATATGTAATGGGTGCTATATGTAATGGGTGTTTCAATACTGACGAATAAATATGTATATTGAAAGTACATGTAACTGTGCAAACGTTAAATATTTCAATAGTCTAAATAATGTTTCGATCTTTTGTAGTCGTCATAAATGAAACCACAGCTTACAAGAATGGGGGGCGCGTCGTTAATAAGCAACACAGTTGTGTTTGTTGTAGTAAACTACAACTGAGGATTGGCAGGCATATACAGACAGTTCATAAAAACGGACCTCAAGTTCAGGAGATGTTAGCCACCTCATCAAAGACTGATAAAGAACAACGGTTGGAATGGAAGGCGATTATAAGCACAACATTAAAGTTTTGAAAGAGAACAATGGGTTTCTGATATTGGCAAGAAGGCCAAGTTCAAATCCATCTAATTCAATTAAATATACATATGCAGACTTTCTTCCGTGCGACTTCTGCCTTGGTTTTTTCCTGAAAACTGAGCTGTGGAGACATCGGTCAAATTGCCATTTCGGACCAACAGAAAAACAAGGACACTCCAGAGTACAACGCAACAGCGTTCTTCTACTGCAATCTTCCGTGTCCGACCAGGAACTTCACCAGGGTTTTAGTGATAATGTGGTTACCACACTCCTTGTCGATGATATTTCCTTTATTATCCGCAATGATCGGGTACTTTTAAAGGTTGGAGAAATTCTGTATCTTAAACACGGAAAAAACCCCAAAAACAGTACATAAGCCAAGAAATAAGACTCCTCGGAAGACTGGTGAAGGAGCTGAGAACCACAGTCGGAAACACGAACGGCTACATACAAGATTTTTTTAAACCCTCAAACTTCGATAACATCATCGAAGCATGTCAAAACCTATCAGGAATTGAGGAAACAGCTGAAGCATGCAAATTCAAAACACCATCTGTGGCATTAAAATGCGGCCCGATTTTGAAAAAAGTGTTGTGTAGTCATGAAGGGTCACGCACTTTGAAACAGTGACGAAGTTGGAGAAAAAAACGCAGAGAGGCTTCTGAAACTAATAGAGGAGGAATGGAGCACAAGGTTACGGCTGTTGCTCTACGATCAGTCAAAGAGAGCAAAAGAAATCAGCAAGTGCTGCTTCCGACTACTTCCGACCTGGTTAAATTGAAGGACTTTCTGGACACAGAACTTCACAATGCAACCAAGACATTGACAAATGCTACCAACATGGAAAACTTCCAGAGATTGTCAGCTGTCATTCTATGTAGAGTGATGATGTTAAATCGTCGCAGAAGTGGAGAAACAAGCAAGATCCTACTGACAGATTTTGAAAACAGACCCGAATGGCATCTAGGGCATAATACTGAAATCATCCGTTCTATGCCTTTAACAGAGCAAAAGCTAGTAAAACGGTATGACACTACGTGTTAGATTGTACGATCTGGTAAGTTTTACCACATTTTAATCGCATACGGATTATTAATATCATTAATAGATTTTCGTTAGGTACATATAGGGTTTATGGCTCATTCCTTCGAAATGTACATCATACAAATAGTCAAAGGAACTCTTTTTGTGGAGCATGTGGATAGAATTCACAAACTTTAGATGTGACGCTTTCTTCAGAAGAAGATTCTCGCTTAATATATGTTTAAATGACATCTGCTTTTTTATTTACTTGCTTTATATGAATGACTTATGACTATTGTAGGCTGGACATGATTGAAATCAGGGGTAAAAGGGGACGAAATGTTTCTCTAATAATGACACCGGACATGTAAGGATCGATAGAGGTCCTCATCCAAAACCGAGAAAAAGTTGGGATTACAGAGTCCAATCTTTTCCGAGAGGAAGCGGCGACTCACACATTGAAGGTCATGTAGCCATGCGGTCATTTGCCTCGCAGGCTGGTTTGGATTACCCGGAAAGGATTGGTTCAACAAATATGAGGAAATACATTGCAACTGTGACACAGGTACATATTAAGCCATTTACTCGTTATTTGGTTAAATATAAATATAGTTATACGAATGAAACACTTGTATCGATTCCATATCTGTATCTTGTTACCAAAACAGCCTTAAATCTTATGTATGATTACTTCGAACATTGTTAACCGACTCCCTTATAGTTGCATAGTTGTGACTACATGAAATGTTTCCCCGTCATATTAAATTATTTTATGCAACCTTAAACTATTAACTCATATTCATGGTTCTAACTCGGATGCTACTTGCAGTTGATGAAGGCAAAGCGCTGGCAGAAGTCAAAGAGGTGGGTAAGTTGTTGCTCAACATTATTGAGGATTCCATGATTTTCTCGAAAATAAGACCATTTTCAGTATTTATGACTCCGTAATTTTGTAAATTATATCTTTTTAATTTCGTTTTTAACAGAAGTGACCATGAACATTGATGACAGTGATAGTGAGGAGGAGGAAAATAGTGTTCCACAAGAGAATGCAGGTTTGTTTGTTTTTTTCTAATGGATTTCACGAAAACTTTAGATAGAATGCATAGTACACCCTCTGAATTTAACTTGAGTATAACGAATTTACTATCCCATGAGATAAACTGAAAGATAGAACATGTTTAAAAAAAATATAGTAATGAATAGCACATATCATTTTTCAGGTGAGGAAACTGAAAAAGATGGAGATTCTTTTCGAGATGAAGTTGAAATGGACCTCGAATCTCGCATAGATGGCCAACAGAAGAAAATTGAGACATCAAGAAAGAAAAGTAACGAAAAGGTCAAGTGGACTGAAGAGGAAATAATGGCCATCAAAAGACAGATGGGGAAAAATTACCGCCTCAGGCTCGTGCCGAAAAAAGCAGAATGCGAAGGAGCCATCAATAAAGAACCTGTTTTGAAACACCGAGACTGGAAGAGTGTCAAATACAAAGTTTATAATGACATTCAGACATTAAAAAGGAAATGACATGACAAACGCCAAAATGTCAAATTAGTCCATCATGCACTATGTATCTTTTACAAATTTAGTTAATACTCGGGTTACCGTTTAAGCCCATTGGCCTATGGTTTATCGATTTCGTTCGCCAAAATCTAATCGTAAGAAACAAGTAACATTGTGCGGTTGTAGCTTAGTAACACTGCTGTGTATTTATGATAAATATGGATCAAGTATTACTAAACTGTTTCTCGATCAAGTATATCTTATGTGAGATCATCTTATCACACATAACTCTTATGTAGTTTTATAATGGCTAATGCGTGTTATTTCGTCAAGTCGTCTTTCGCGCGTCATATAATTCTCAGTGTCTTTGTCTTTTTGGTTGCTGTTTTTTGGTAGGTGCTATTTCGTGTTCTTTATTATGTTGTGTTTAACGATCAGTATTATCTTTTTACCTCAAAGATTTACAATACAAGGCGACATAAATAAATGACTCTAATTGTCATGAGTTCGTCTTTTCGTTATTTAACTAACACTTAAGTAGGTTATTTTCGTCTCCTAGATGTACAAGGCAAAGTGGGGAAAACGAACAAATTAACATCCTTTTGTCTTTTCATGGGATAGTCTGTTATAGTCTGAATACAATAACCTGATTTTGGAGGTGTTAATATTGGTAATGAGATAGACAATGATGTTTCTTAGAAATAGTTTTTTCCAAGATTGTGTTTTCTTTTCATGTAATACTTTGTAGAAATATAAATGTAAATATCTCTCACATGATTCTACAAATACTTGATCAATATCACTCGTAATTTTCTAAAGAAAAGTACAAAAAGAAATAAAACAAAAACACCATAAAATTGTTTTGCCGCATTGTTTACCTTAACTACTATTCATTATATTTGAGGTTTGCCGTTTCATTGTTTTGTAAATTTAGCATGTGTGCTCTTCTTAGTTTTTGAGAAAGATGATTTGACTGTGACCTGGTACCGATTATTTTCAGAAAGTTGTAAGACCGTGTATTGGCAGTATATACTAGTTTTATTAAAACAAAAGGCATGAGGATGTAATATGGACTCTATTTTGTTTTATATTTTCTTATTATTATTTTTGTTTGATACCTTCATATCATTGCAAGCCACGTCTTAATTCCGATAGTAAATGTTACATAATATTATAGGATCTAACATGAGTTTTGATTTCATATGAGATTTATGACACGAGTATAAGATTTTTTAATCAAGCGAGCCTCTGGTGTGCTAAAATGAAAATTCGTGACTAGTTTTATCAATCTCATAAGATATGAAATCGAGTGTAATAATCAAGATTTGTGGCATTTATTCCTGTAAAACGGCAATTTGCATGCACCCTTGAAATGCAAAAAGCCGCCATTTCGACTCCAGTGTGTACGTTTGTGACGTCATGTACTTATTCTAGGCTTGAAGTCACAATTGCAACAATTGAAACTTACAACTAAACATAGGGCACAGGTCATATTACGTGGGTTAATATTCACTGGATAACACAATACATTATGTGATAAATTTATATAAACACCAGTGATTATGACATCATAAACAACTTGAAACAACTTTGCAGGATGAGAATCTGTACCCATTGTCAATTGCCAGGTCTGCGTTTACGGCGGGGGTCTAATAGTGCATTTATCTCTCATGAATATGACACATTCAAAAGAGCAATGTACATATTGTAACAGTATTTGACCGAATGAAAACTGGAATCTAGCTCCAATACGGATTCTACTTGATTTAATCTTAGCTGTTGTAAACATGTAAAACCACAAACAAATTGCCCATAGAAATATCAACAATAAATGGATTTTTTTAAAAAAAATATTTGAAGATGCGCTGCTAGTTATTTAGCCTAAATTTAGCTGCATTCATTTGGCATGTATGCATATTCAGTATGAAAATAAAATTCTTCAATAAATCTCGAGGTATCTTGCAACTAAGCTAGAATAAATGTATTACTTAACACTAAATTATACCATTTTTTTTTCAATTTGTGAATATATAGTCACCAGTATGAGTAACTTCAATATCAACTGTTAGTTCCACGTTTAACCGATAATGTCTTGATTGATCTTGCGACTTTGTCATCTTCATGTTTTAATATTTTCCCCGGAAAACAAGTTGTATTTGCTAATTAACAACTGTAATAATTAAACTTAAAAACACACATACTTGTTTATTACCTATTTTCCAAGACTATAACTGTGTTTACAAACAAAATGTGGAATGCTCAAAGAAACCATACGAGGCAAAACTTCAATATCTAAGGTTGATACTTTCTAGATTATCCTGATATCTTTACTCGGATAACAATATCTAGATACCTATTGAGCAAGTTATAAATTATAAAGTCGTCTACATGCCGAATAGACATATATATCAAGTATTATGTGGCCAAAGTAAAGGAAGGTACCGAAGTGTCGACCTAGTCATACTTATGAACTATACATCATAGGACACATTATGAACCAAAGAAGACTTTTCAACAGATATTTTCGACGCCCGGTATGTCTAGCGTTTCACTTGATTGGTCATATACTTAATTAATAAATATTAAATTACATTTATACAACAGATTGATTACACAAGTCCATTTCGGTAAAATACCTTTATTTAAAATGATTTTTTTTAATTATCTTCAAATATTAATTTGTGAATCACTCTGACTACATCACACGAAAATGTTAAATCAGTATATAAACTGGAATATGAAATGTTTATGCAACCACGAAACGACGAATGTTTATACACAACGAACATATCATTTTATACAGTATCATGTGCTTGGCGTATGACAAGACTTCACAGTGACTATGGACTATGGACACCGTGTTCACAACGGTGTGTGTGTGTGTGTGTGTGTATGTGTGTGTGTGTGTGTGTGTGATCATCCCCATTACTTCAAAAACTGCTTTTTATGCTACAGAAGTAAGCAGTGTTTTATTTTGTTTTGTATTGTTTTACGGCCATCGACAATATCAGTCATTTATGGCCAAAACTACTGTAAAAAGAGATATTCACATCGATATCGAACAAATTGGCTGCCAAATATAATAACTGATTGTAAATATTAATAGATGTAAATAGTCATATATTAATTGCACAGAGACTATCGTTTAATCTTTTCATCATAAAATCTGTCACGTAATTGTTTACAAGAGGCCCAAGGGCCTTAGCGGTCACCTGAGTTATATTATAGGTACTGGTAGCTTTATTTTATTGTTTAGATGTGATGTGGAAATCAGCATGTAAACTAAGTGAAATACAATACCTGTCATGTCATCAGAGGATAAGATTTGGAAGATATTGGTAAATGTTCCCTTTGGGGCCCCGCCCTGGCCCCTGGGGATGGGGCAGGAATCCAAATTTTACAAAGTAATACCCTCATTCACCAAAGATGATTCTGACTAAGTTTGAGTAATTTTCTGTTGGCAATGGATAAAATATACCCAAAAGTGTTATTTTCCTTTATAAACTATAGTAAACTTTACACCTCCCCAAGGGAGAACGGTTAGCTCGGGGGTCCTGAAATTTACGATTTAAATAAAGCCCCTGATGATTTCTTTCCATGCAGAGAAAATTAACGTAGTACCTCTGAGTCTGGAGGAGAAATGTTGTGGAAATATTGGTTAATATTCCCTTTGGGGCCCCGCCCCGTCCCCTAGGGTTGGGGTAGGAATTTCAATTTTACAATTTGGAACCATCTTCCTCCAAGGATATTTCCCCTTAAGTAAAAATAATTTCCTACAGAAAGTTGTCAAAATATACCCAAAAGTGCTATATCCCTATATGAACTATAGTAAACTTTACCCCCTCCCCAAGGGAGAACGAATAGCTCGGGGGTCCTGAAATTTACACTTTAAGTAAAGCCTCTGATGATCTTTCTTTCCATGCAGAGAAAATGACTGTAGTACATCTGAGTCTGGAGAAGATTTTTTTTTGAAATATTGGTTAATTTTCCCTTTGGGGCCCCGCCCTGTCCCCTAGGATTGGGGGAGGAATTTCAATTTTACAATTTGAAACCATCTTCCTCCAAGCATAATTCTCACCAAGTAAAATTAATTTCCTACATAATGTTGTCAAAATATACCCAAACGTGTTATTTCCCTTTATAAACTGAAGTAAACTTTACTCCCGATCCCCAAGGGAGAACGGATAGCTCGGGGTCCTGAAATTTACAAGTTTAGTTAAGCCCCTGATGATCTTTCTTTCCATGTAGAGATAATGACTGTAGTACCTCAGAGCCTTAAGAAGATTTTTGAAATATTGGTTAATTTTCCCTTTGGGGCCCCGCCCTGGCCCCAGGGGTTGGGGTAGGAATCCCAATTTTACAATAGTGTAGCCTCATCTACCAAGGATGATTCTGACCAAGTTTGAAAAAAATCAATTCACTTGTTCTTAGAAGAAGTTGAAACTGTAAAAGGTTTACGCACGACGGACGACGACGGACGGAAAGCGATTTGAGTTACAACCTGAAAATCGAGTCGATACTTAACATATATATATCCATAATAAACCAACCTGACGCAAACGTCCAGTGTGGTCAGTTTTATCTTTAGGGAAAGCCAGTGTTAAAAATAACTACGACAGAAATAGCGCAATATCCGGGCCTTTTAGTGAGAAACATGTACAGCACTACGCTGTCGATCGACAACACAGTGCCAGTTATGAGTCTTGAGTTCACACATAACGCATTCAATATATCGCAAGTAAGAATTACAAGTATCATAATATATACCTCTAATAAGATATTTCTGTTCATATTTTGATTTGAATAAAAACAAACAGGTTTGATAAGAGCATGCACGCACTGAGAGGGTGCCGCATGGAGAATTTCAAACCGCAGAAAGTACGATATCAATAGATCACTC